ATCTGTACTCACCAACCGACCCCGAAGAAATAGAACGCTTCGTTGACCTGGACGGGAACCGGTCAAGACTTGATCCCTTGACTGTGTACAGTCGTTATCATCGAAATAAGACGGAGCATGGGTTCGGCGCAGTGTCTTTCAAGTTTTCATCGATGAATTGGGCTTGGGCCGTGCAGTGGTAATAAGAAAGAGGCTGGCGTCGGTCAAAACCCACACGCCGCTGACACGCCCAGACTGATTTCTGTGACAACCACTGTAAGTGGTAACCGGAGCAAGCCACTTCATCATTTCCTACGAGCGGCTTTCCTACGATTGAGAAAAAAGCGCTGGGTAAATGTTCTCCCACTTTAGCTCGACAAGGGAAGCATGCAAAATGGGAAAAGAAACAATATTTGAACACTCCTGCCATTATAAGGCTAAACAAGAGGGGTCCTACACCATTATGCAGCCCAAGGGCCCGTGCTAAACGGGAACTGAAATACTTTTTGAAGATTTTACGTTACATTGAGACGCTCGCGAACTAACGGTAAGCATTTAGTGGTGTACGGTACGAATCAAGAACGCAAGAAGATGGAAATATGGAAAGAAGAGATAAAGTTTAATGACTGAGCAAAGTCTAGGGCGGCAAGCTGACACCACACCCAAAGAAAAATCAGCGCCGCCACGAAGGTCTGAAAGGCGATATTCCAAAAAACGACTAGAAGTGTAGTGGGTGGGAGGAATCGAAATAGGACAAAATGTGAAAAAGAACACGTAAATAGCGAATGGAGCGAGGAAATGCGATAACGAGATTTCATAAAGTACAATCGACCTGGCCTTTCAAGTGCAACACACCCAGACGCATGAGCGGACAGAATATGAACGATATTGAATTCTAATTTCCCTGTTATTGAAAGAAAAAAATCAATACACATTATAATTCCCTTCATTCATATTCACTGTTTAATAGCATTGTATACAGGAGTCTAAATGGTTACCAAAATCAAATGGCATTAGCAAAACCTGCAGAAGTTGTCTAACATGGGCAAAAAAATGAAACAGTTTGCTCCTTAACAGTTCCGGACCGCGTGACACACATGGTTTGTCATACATTTATCTCTTTGCTGCATAGTCTACTTGGTGGCGATCTGTGACCTGCTAAAGACATTGTGAACGATAACATTGGGAGATAAGAGTTCTCCCCTGCGCAGAGTGAATAGGTCTTAAGAGCAGAATCGTGCCACACGGGCTACACGAAGGTGCGGAAGTTGCCTCATTTCGCTGGTCTCTCCACCCTGTCGGGTCTACACCCATCCAGCCGGACGTAGGGTCCACGTCCGGATTTCATGTACCTGCTTTACGACCCAAATATGTTCAGAGAATATAACAGTAACAACATAAATATTATATTTAATTAATTTGAATTCTTTCAATAAGTAGCGGACTGAAAGCTTTCGCACCCCATGCCCATCTTTTCGGATCAAACAAAGTTAGCAATCCACTCACCAGTTGTTCTCTTCTCTTTTGCAAAATACAATTAAAGCAGTTGAGGAGGCTAGCAGGTTGAGTTATGCCTTCAGCTACATCCAACAATCGCTTTTTACGTAGATATTCGCACAACCGTTCATATTCAGGTAGCAACAAATGAGAAATACGATCCAGCTCAGCTAAATCAGAACAAAATGACAGGCAGTTCGGATTATTAAACCGTAACACAAGAGGAACACGAACCTTGATTAAATTCAATGGGCGGTTCTTCACCAACCGGATTTCGATGAGCACTGGTTGACCTTCCATAGAGATCGTGAAATATCTGGAATTGTAAGAAACCATTAGCCGCGTTTATTCATGAAGACTTCAAAGGATTGACGAAGATGCGGGTAGAGGAAAGAATCCGCATCGATTCGAAGAACCGGGGAACCGGGGAAAATGCCGATGTTTCGCAGGATCTGCACCACTCCCTATCACGTCTCAGTCTGTTATTTCCGCAATCTTGCGGGTTCTGCATTTCTGCCAATTCCACGGTCCTTCAAATCAGTACGTATAGTCTTTTCTATCCGCCATTTCTTCGCCACGTCTGAATGCGTTCACTGAACGCTTAGGCGCAGGTGTCGCACAGGTCTGTTTCCTGTTAAGAATTGAATGACGTGTCATCAAACGCGCTAACGAGACCAAGTGTCACCTAACACGTTAACTATAGAGTAAGTTGTACTGAACCTTGGTCAATGACGTGTTAAGACGCGTCATTAACCTACTATGTGACGTCAATGACATGCCAGTTAAAGGATAACGTGCTGAACCGCCCAGCGCCACATTTTATTGGGAATTTCCGAAACAAAAACGAAAACTAACCGACGCTTC